ATTATATTATATTATATTATATTATATTATATTATATTATATTATATTATATTATATTATATTATATTATATTATATTATATTATTGTAAAGCGAATGACTTACGTTTTCACTTTTTACATATAACAATTAAAACAGACTCAAAAGAGTAAAAGGATAGAGAGTTATTAAGTGTAAGTTTCATCAAGAGTCAACAAATGTAGAATATGTTTTAGTGTCAGACAAAGATGGAAAAGGTCAAAGTCAGTAACAGTTTATGTGATTGATTAATTTCATAATATATTTTAATTTTGATCATCTGTTTATCACATGATAACTGAGATGTGGATAAGGTGCAAGCATGAGTAATCCAAATAATATTTTAGATATCTTTAATTGAAAACAAGTCTCTTAGGGATTACCTGATAAGGAAACGTTGCATGGTGACTTGCAACATGCGAATGGAAAATATTTTGTTATCACGCAAAGACAATGGAAAAGAAAACAAGTAAATGCGTGATCAGTACGGAGAAATTCAGCATAAATATTTGTGAAGTTGTATGAAGAAAGTGTCGGTGAATAAACGTTCGAAAGCTCCAGACTGTTGTCGTCAAAACTCACTATAACAATATTATATTATATTATATTATATTATATTATATTATATTATATTATATTATATTATAGTGATTGAATAAGAAATCGTAGTTAAAGATCCAGGTATTTATTTTGATAGCTTTAAAGTTTTTTAAAAATTGTTTATTTAATTTTATAGGGCTGGGATAATTTTGACCCTGTACAACAGCTAACAATAAGCAGACATGGGGATAACTTTAGAATTACTGAACGTTCAGAAAACTTGCTCTGCAAGAAGTCTACATTATGTGCAGGTCCGTTAGTGAATGTTTACGAATGATTCATTGATTTGGATTGTATTTCCTCAAAAAGTTAAAACTAAAATTCTAAAAAAAAATATCTGGCTAAATTAATTATCAAGCGGTCATGACCGGTCGGACTATGTCCGCAATAGGGTTGGGTATTTTTGGCCCTGACACTTTACTACATGCGGAGGTAGAAGTTCTCAGCTTCTCAGATGCTGTTTGAAGTATTAGAAGAAAGCAAACGAATAACATGTTCACTGCCGTACCATTCCCACTCTAAGAAGCCTCCGGTCGGTTACGACAAGCAATGTGAAGGGGTTCCCAATTGTTTGGTAGACATTCAAAAGGCAATAATAATAATAATAATAATAATAATAATAAAGCATAGTAGTTTTCACAGTGTCTGGACATAAATTTGACATATATGCACTTTTTAGGTGACAGCCATCTACATGTAGATGCAGAAGGCATGTACGGTGGACTCCGTCTCAGCATTCTAGTGTCGCGGAAAGAATACGTGAAACACTCATACCTGGCTGGGTTGTCGGTAACAATGCTGTTTTATTGTCAAATTTTAATGCGAAGATGTGTTGTGGTGGTTTGTTCTGTGGAAATATACTGAAATATTAGTGTTGACAGGGGCATGTATTTAAGTTGACATCCCACGTCTCCATTTATACCGTGCTAACCAGTCATCTCATTACTTTATTTTAACGTTACCATACCAAAAGTTCTGGGGTTGCCGGGCTAGGAGTTTGTTTTACCTGTATAAAAATAGCACAAATTTGGCCACATACACATCCAGTATTAGTGGATAAACTGATAAACAAGCGACAGATGTTTTTTTTTTTTTTTTTTTTGCATCTCTTCTTTATTCGTATAATTTTATGCAGGTGTAAAAAATACATATAACATTAATATTGTTTTGGTAAGTGAGAGAAATTCACAATCCTCCTGTCCTTCCCCCCCTCATCCCGCCCAAACAACAATAACTCTGTTGTTTTTATGCTGTAAAATCGTCCACCTCCCACTTCAAGCTAGACTCTGGTCATATAAACTTGAGACTCATTACCAATATCACCGGTCTAACATATTGTTTATTTTATTTCCAGCTGAATCTCCATAACCCAGAGGACCGTCCAGACGGTAATACAGGGATTCTCATCCCCCCCGGGGGGTTTACTAATATCGCCCTTAAACTTAAGCATGTAAGTATCATGTAAAAGGTACACATGGCGTGTTTTAACGTACTTTGAAGCATTGCCACCGTTCCTGAAGCTGTAAAGGCCAATTTTCTTTTAATTATCAAAGTAAACAAAAAGCAAATGTCTCGAAAAGTAATCGCTATTTTTGAAAATTGCTGATGAACTATACTCTGGTGCTAGTTTAAAAGTACATTTTGTGTAACCTTTAGTTCTCACCCTGTCCATATATAGGCAGCTAGAATAACCCGTATAATAGAAACATTCCCTACTTATCGTAATTTAATATGTGCATTTTTGTCACATATATTGTTATATGAGCATGTTCAGTATGTACATCTATGTGACAGTGTTTCGTTCTTACGTTGATCAGTACCAAGTGAACTCTCTTGTACCTATTTCAATCATTAATGAATAATGAAACGTCAGTACATTTGATGATTAGTTCCGCAATTGACATATCCATAAATGGAGCAGTGCAGTGTTTGCATTAGTGTCATAGCTGTAGTACAAACGGCCCAGTATCTCCTGGTCATATTCTTGATAAATTAATATCTCTTTTGGTTTCTATATGCATGACTGATTGCCATAAAGCATGTTTTGGAAACGCGATAGATCAGTACTTTACTTTATTATCGATCACTCTTTACATGTAGATTTCATTGTCAGTTAGCTAAATTAAAATCGTGATAAATATCATGGGTTTATCATGAACAAAAAATAACTCTAACTGACCAAATGTCAATCTAAACGTTGCGGCTCCTATGTTTTCCTTTGGAAAAAAACGTCATTTTTGTTCAAACCACGCCAAACGGAGTTATAATAATTTTTAAAGACAAGTTTCCAAAGTAAAAGTACTTTTGTAAATAGTATTTTAGACGTTTTTTTTTTTCAGTTGGTGAATCTTCCGCCTCCTCACGGGAAATGTGGTGAGAGACCTCTGGCTTACTACAAGAAGTACAGTAAAACAAACTGTCAGACAGAGTGCCTGTATGTATAATATATGTAACTTCTATATAAATCGTTTTTTTTTTACAAAAACATATCTGATTATGAGATATTCTTTTGTAAAACATATTTGTGCTTATTATATGTACTGAATCATTTCTAACATTATTACATTTATAACATACATGTAGGCCTACCGGTATTCCTTCCTGTTTATAATAATAATAATAATAATAATAATAATAATAATAATAATAATAATTATTATTATTGTTATTATTATTATTATTATTATTATTATTATTATATGAAAATGGTGGAATGTATGACAACTTATATTCCAGGCACAACCTCACCTTAACGCGATGCCATTGCCGTCTAACATTCTACCCGTATGTTCCCGGGTTCAGAGATTGTTCCCCAAAAGACCGAAAACTCTGTGTGGACCCACTGACCTTCCTGAACAGATCACAGCTTCACCGTCAATGTGGCTGTAAAGTTGCGTGTGAGACGTTCAAGTATGAAACCAGTTCAACCTATACTAAACTATCGGAGAGCACTTTTGAAAATGTCCAGGAATGGAACATGTTACAAGAGAGGCTGGAGGATTTTATCGGTGTGCTCATATTCTATCCTGATATGTCATACGAGGAGGTAGTACAACAGGAGGCCTACAGCACGTTGGCACTACTGGCGGACATCGGCGGTGCCCTTGGCCTCGTTTTGGGCAGCACGCTGATGACCTTGGCCGAAATTTTGGATTTCTTTTTTGGGTTATGTGTTTGGAAGGCTTTGGGTGTTAGAATCTGACAGGGAGGCAAAGACGAAAAAGAATATCGCTATAAATCGTGATATGATAGCTGCGGAACCTGTCTTATCAAGCGGTATACTTAAGCGATACGGTTTTCACCTGTACATTTTGTGAGTGTGGCAACCTAACAGACTAGATATATCACATACCATAAAAGAGACACCTGAACAGATTCGACATGAGGCGATGTTGCAGAAAATTTGTGAAGGGGGATTAAGAGCGTAATAATGTGTTTGGACCTCTTAAAACGTATCGGTACAACCTGTATCGATAGAGTATATCGTCTGGTGTATTAAAGTAAACAGAACTTTTGTCTGCATCCACTCTCAACCAAGGCCAAAAGATATGCCGAACATATCATTATTATTGTTACCTGTTGTAAAACGCATCGAGAGGTATATGTAGGGGCCTACTGTATGTAGTGGAATGCGGTATACTTGTATATACGAACCAGAATTTACTTCGCTTTGCTTTCCTTTGCTTTAAATGTAACAATGCGACGCCACGCGAGACAGCTAAAGGTGCGAGAATCCGCGTGAGGTGGGGCAAATCTTGCAAAACTTAATGCCCTAAGAATGTCGTCTTAGATACTAATACAAACGTTACATTTTTCTGTGCAGTATTGATATTCTAACAGAACGTATTCAAAAGAAAAATATATCCGTGGGAAATCTGTGCCATTTTTTATCTGCACCACAGTCACAATAGCGTGTCATTGATTCAGATTAAACTTCCTTCTAAATCCCTCGTAATATTTTTTCTCCATTTGCTGAAGCAGACATTATTGTAATACAGGTCTATTTTTTATTTACATACAGTGTCTCTATTCAGCAAATATAAACATCCTCCGTTCGATAAAGCATGTTTTCCCTGTAGGATAAGTATGAAAAAGTGTTCTGACAACATTGAATAATGCTCCTTGCATTTGTGAAGGCTTATTCCGTTCAGTGCACACATCAATACATTAATTTTGCAACCGCCATTCAATTCATACTGATATTTATGTTAAATGTCAAAAAGATTTGAATAGATAGAAACTATGTGACTGTTCATGAGTGAACTGTTGGAACAGTACATATAATGCTACCTACCATAACTTGATTAGATTTATAAGTAGATAGATGCTAAATATACCTTGGTACAAGCATATCCAGGATTTTTTTAATAGGACTATCTTTTGGGAATGTGTCAATTGGCAAATTTGTAACATTGTCCAATAGTAGTAAAATGACCTGGTGCCTGTAGAAATTAATTAAGTTGATCGAGTGCGGGATGAAGAGATATACATGTCTAAACATGGGTAATTGGGCGATAGAACTACTAGAAACGGTTAAAATTTGAACTTTTCGCGCAATTTGTCAAACTTCATCACGCCAATCCTATCATGGAGGTCCGTACAAATGTCGTCAATCAAATGAGCAAACGCTGGGTCAATTTTGTTAACCCACGCATGCGCAGTCAATGTGGAATTTTTCCGAGTAGTTCCGCTGACTCCATTGTCTTTTTTCCCTGCCATAGTTCTTTCATAGAGTGCTTTCTCGATGACGCTGGGTAATTCCATCCCTATAAACTCATATATCATTTTTGCCGTCGTAAATGGAGATATTGCTAAGTCTTCATAAAATACTTGCGTAATGCGCCCCGGGAATTTTAAATCTAGTTTGCGGTGAGCGTTTAGGTTACGTAGCATCAACATGCATGACTTGCTAATGAGATCATCGGGGTCAGGATTTGAAAGGGTACGTTTAACAGACGTTATTTGCCCTCTAGGATCCCGCATCAAATGAATAACTTTAAGTCCGGGATTTTTAAGCAGAAGTTCCTCCATTTGCCACATCTCGAAGCGGATCGTCTTGATGACCTTGACCTTTGACCCCTTGCAAACGCCCTCCATGATATGGATGCAATTCCTGTCATTAAGCCCTTTGTTTTGTCTCAGGCACTTGTAGTACGGGCTGCTCTCCAAGGTTTTGTGACGGCTGACAGAAGTGAGAAACCCGTGCTCGTTTTTACGGGAAGCCGTGCTCACTTCTAGAGGTACAGATCGTATTCTGCAGTTCAATATGTCGTCTAATATTTTAGTATATTCTGCAAATTCGTTACCATGGACGGGTGGCATCCTAAAATGAACAAGAACATTATTATTATTATTATTGTAATTATTAATATTATTATTATAAACAGTAGCAGTAGTAGACGTAGTAACTTACATGTACAACTACATGTAATATTGTTTGTTTAATGCCTACATATTATATTAGCAAGGACTGGAATGGATCAACGGTACAGTTTTATAAATTTGCTAATTTAGCCCACTGTTGCATTACTAAGACATTCTTTGGTGTTAGCTTCATATAGCAAATGTTCATGTGATACATATACTTGTATAAGTCATGTGTTATAATCTGTAAATGCTTTTTATGGTAAAGCAATGCGGTTTTATACCGGTGCATTGGTAATTTACGGCTATTATTTATTTATGAAATACTGTAACTTTGTACATATTTGTCCTGTAGGATCAAACAGTGTTTAACTTGATGTCATACGCGTAGTCTTCATTTATTCAACGCTGTAATATGCTTTATCCGAATGTGTGATGAAGAGCTTTATGGGGTTGGTATCATAAGACGTAATGATTATGAGAGAGAAGAGATAGAAGAGAGATTGACTATTTCTTCGTTTCAAAGTGTAGTAGTAAATACCCTGTACGCCTGTACGTAAAGTGTGTGTGTGAGAGAGAGAGAGAGAGAGAGAGAGAGAGAGAGAGAGAGAGAGATTTTTTCACTTCTAACTTACCTGCTAGTTCCATTACAATACGTTAAGTTTCGACGGTACTTCACAGCGAATTGGTAATTCCATAGGGGTTCGTAGAGGTAGAACATGCTTGGGTTATTATTGAAAAGCTCCCCTAAGAAAGATGACCCGCTCCTGTAATACGCTAGTATCATGACTTTATCTGTAGTCCTGGTGGCGGCGGTGGGACCAAGGGATGGAAGTTTCGGCATAAAGCCTAAAATAACGCAAAGATGGATTATTTGTATCATATTGTAAATACACTGTAAGTGGGCTTAGAGATAATGAAAGGACAATATTCATATAAAAATCCATTTCTCGAATTCTGAAGATCCAGCACTTAATCTATACGCTACAGTTATGTTTTAATCGATCCCCGTCATTTAAAAATTATAAAAACAATCTATTAGTAGACAAAAAGCGTTTTAGTAAACCTCACCTCAATATGCATAAACGAAGCAACATATTGAGGTGAGGTTTACTAAAACGCTTTTTTACTATTAATAGATTGTTTTTATAATTTTTAAATGGCGGGGATCGATTAAAACATACCTCTAGTGTATAGATTGAGTGCTGAATCTTCAAAATTCGAGAAATGGATTTTTACATGAACATTGTCCTTTAATCTCAAGGTTGATTACATGGCTGATAATTGTTTGCATAACTGCTCAGGCACTGCCACTTAGCAGGTCCAGTCTAAGTC